TGTCCCCAATGTCCCCAATGTCCCCAATGTCACAGCTGCTGTCCCCCGAGGAGCACGCGCGGTTCCTGGCGCGGGGGCTGGCGCTGGCTCGGGGTTCCTAGGGGTGGGTGACAGTGACTCAGGGGTCCCAGTGCCATGTCCCCAATGTCCCCAATGTCCCCAATGTGTCCCCAGCTGCTGTCCCCCGAGGAGCACGCGCGGTTCCTGGCGCGGGGGCTGGCGCTGGCCGAGCGCCGCAGCCGGAACAGCTTCCACTGCCGGGGCCGGGACTGCCCGGGCTGGTGCTTCTACGAGGACGCGGTCAACGAGTTCCCGTGCCCGGTGTGCGGGGCCCTCAACTGCCTCCTGTGCAAGGTGAGCCCGAGGGGGTCCCGGGGGGGTCCCGGGGGGGTCCCGGGGGGTCCCGGGGCTCTGCCCGGCCCAGCGCTGGCTCCAGGGGCCGCCCCGGCTCCCACCCAGCTCCGGCTCCTGCGGGACAGAGCGGCACCGTCAGGGACAGGATGGGACAGGGATGGGATGGGACAGGGATGGGATGGGACAGGGACAGGGACAGGACAGGGATGGGACAGGGACAGGGGTGGGACAGGGGTGGGACAGGGACAGGGAGAGGGTCGGGATCAGGATTGGGATCAGAACAGAGTCAGGATCGGGATCGGGGTTGGGATCAGGGCAGGGTCAGGACTGGGATCAGAACAGAGTTAGGATGGGGATCAGGGCTGGGATTGGGCAGGGGCAGGACTGGGATCAGGGCTGGGATCAGGATGGGGATTGGGGCAGGGTCGGGATCAGGGCTGGGATCAGGAGTGGCTCCGGTGTTGGGGGCTCTGGGAGGGGCAGAGCCCCGATCCCGTTCTTGATCCCCACCCCAATCCTGCTCTGACCCTGCTCCATCCCTGCCCTGATCCCGACCCCAAATCCCAGCCCTGACCCTGCCCCGATCCCTGCCCAAATCCCAGCCCTGACCCTGCTCCATCCCTGACCTGATCCTGATCCTGGCCCCAATCCTGCCCCGATCCCTGCCCCATCCCTGCCCAGATCCCAGCCCTGACCCTGCTCCATCCCTGACCCGATCCCTTCCCCATTCCCTGCCTTGATCCCTGCCTCAATTCCAGCCTCAATCCTGATCCTGGCCCCAATTCCAGCCCCAATTCCAGCCCCAATCCAGCCCCATTCCTGCCCCGATCCCGCTGGAATTCCCAGCTCCACCCCTTCCCACCCTTTCCCCTGATTTCCATTCTTATTCCTACTTTTCCTTCATCTTTTCCCAACCTTTTATTTCCCTCATATTCTCCCACTTGTCTCCCTGAACCTTCCTCCCAATCTTTTCTTTTCATTCACCTTTCCCCCCAACCATTTCCCGGCTTCTTCTCTCGATTCTCTTCCCATTTTCCCCCCAATTTTTCCCACCCTTTTCCCACCTTTTTCTCCCCTTTTTCCCATACTTTCCCCACCCTTTTCCCACACTTTCTCCACCCTTCTTCCCTGTTTTTTTCTCTCCTTTTTCCCATATTTTCCCCACCTTTTCCCCATACTTTTCCCACCTTTTTCTCCCCTTTTTCCCTTACTTTCCTCACCCTTCTTCCCTGTTTTTTCTCCCCCTTTTTGCATATTTTCCCCACCCTTTTCCCACCCTTTTTCCCCCTTTTTTCCCCATTTTCCCCCTCACCTGGCCGTTAAAACCTCCTCCCTCCTCCGTAGCTGCCGCCGCCGCTGGAGCTGCCGTAGCCGCCTGCGGAGCCGGGGGGGATTTAGGGACACCCAAAAACTGGGGGGGCACACGTCCACGGACCCCCCCGGACCCACCAGCGACACAGAACCCCTGCCTGCACACTTTGGGGTCTCTGCAGCACATTTTGGGGTCTCCCCAGGTTACTTTCAGGCCACCCCAACACATTTTAAGCCCCCCCCCAGACCCCAAACCCCCTGAGCTCCAGGATCCTTCCCTGAGATCCCAGACCCCCCAGTGATCCTTTCCCAGAGACCCCAAACCCTCCAAGATCCTTCCCAGAGATCCCAAACCCCCGTGATCCTTTCCCAGAGACCCCAAACCCCCGCTGACCCTTCCCCTATAACCCGGGTGTGGGGCAGTGCCACCTCCCCCGGGGGTGCCCCCAGCCCCAGGGTTTCCCCCAGTGCCCCAGCCTGGGGGTCCCACCTGTGCCCCCCAGCCCCGGGGGTCTCACCTGTGCCCCCCAGCTCCGGGGGTCCCACCTGTGCCCCCCAGCCCGGGGTTTCCCCAAGTGCCCCCAGCTCAGGGATCCCACCAGTGCTCCCAGCCTGGGGGTCCCACCTATGCCCCCCAGCCCAGGGGTCCCACCTGTGCCCGCCAACCCCAGGGGTTTCCCCCAGTGACCCCAGTCCGGGGATCCCACCTGTGCCCTCCAGCCTGGGGTCCCCCCAGTGCCCCCCAGCCCGGGGGTCCCACCTGTGCCCGCCTCGGCCAGCCCGTTGCGCACGGCCAGCGCCGGGCCCCGTGCCGGCCGCCGGCCCCCGGGCCGGGATGGCACTGACCCGGCCAGGATGGCACTGACCCCACCAAGATGGCACCCACCCCACACTGTCCCCAGCCAAACTGTCACCCTCCCAGTGTCCCCAGGCTGTCCCCATCCAAGCTGTCCCCACCGGGTGTCCCCACACTGTCCCTGAGCTGCCACCAGCTGGGCTGTCCGCTCTCCTCAGTGCCCCCAGTCTGTCCTCCCCAGGATGTCCCCACAGGGTCCCCAGGCTGTCCCCATCCACACTGTCACCCCCAGGCTGTCCCCGCGCTGTCCCCATCCAGGCTGTCACCCCCAGGCTGTCCCCACGCTGTCCCCATCCAGGCTGTCCCCACACTGACAGAGGTTTCAACCAATAACGCTGCCCCATCCAGGCTGTCCCCGCAGTGTCCCCATCCAGGCTGTCACCCCCAGGCTGTCCCCGCGCTGCCCCATCCATGCTGTCCCCATCCAGGCTGTCCCCACACTGTCACCCCCAGGCTGTCCCCGCGCTGTCCCCATCCAGGCTGTCACCCCCAGACTGTCCCCACACTGTCACCCCCAGGCTGTCCCCGCAGCGTCCCCGCATCCCCAGCGTCACTCACTGACGATTTTGTCCACGGAGTCGTGGTCGTCGAAGGTGACGAAGGCGAAGCCGCGCTTCTTGCCGCTGCCGCGGTCGGTCATGATCTCGATGACCTCGATCTTGCCGTACTGGCCGAAGTAGTCGCGCAGGTGATGCTCCTCCGTGTCCTCCTTGATGCCGCCCACGAAGATCTTCTTCACCGTCAGGTGCGCCCCGGGCCGCTGCGAGTCCTGGGGACAGCGGGGACAGCCTGCCAGCGGGCACGGGCACGGGCACGGCCCGGGGCACCGCCGGGAGCAGGCACGGACACGGACACTGTCACTGTCCCCAGGGCCACTGCTGGCAGCAGGCACGGCCACTGTCACTGTCCCCAGGGCCACCGCCGGGAGCAGGCACGGCCACTGTCACTGTCCCCAGGGCCACTGCTGGCAGCAGGCACGGCCACTGTCACTGTCCCCAGGGCCACTGCTGGCAGCAGGCACGGCCACTGTCACTGTCCCCAGGGCCACTGCTGGCAGCAGGCACGGCCACTGTCACTGTCCCCAGGGCCACTGCTGGGAGCAGCAGGCACAGCCACCACCACATCTGTCCCTAATGTCCCTCACCTCTCTGGACACGGCCCGTTTGGGCTCCACCACCCTACCATGTCCCCCCCATGTCCCCAGTGTCCCCATTGTCCCCTCAGTGTCCCCAGTGTCCCTCACCTCTCTGGAGTCCCCGCGCTGTCCCCATCCAGGCTGTCACCCCCAGGATGTCCCCACACTGTCACCCCCAGGCTGTCCCCGCAGCGTCCCCGTGTCCCCAGCGTCACTCACTGACGATTTTGTCCACGGAGTCGTGGTCGTCGAAGGTGACGAAGGCGAAGCCGCGCTTCTTGCCGCTGCCGCGGTCCGTCATGATCTCGATGACCTCGATCTTGCCGTACTGGCCGAAGTAGTCGCGCAGGTGATGCTCCTCCGTGTCCTCCTTGATGCCGCCCACGAAGATCTTCTTCACCGTCAGGTGCGCCCCGGGCCGCTGCGAGTCCTGGGGACAGCGGGGACAGCCTGCCAGCGGGCACGGGCACGGGCACGGCCCGGGGCACCGCCAGGAGCAGGCACGGACACGGACACTGTCACTGTCCCCAGGGCCACTGCTGGCAGCAGGCACGGCCACTGTCACTGTCCCCGGGGCCACCGCCAGGAGCAGGCACGGCCACTGTCACTGTCCCCAGGGCCACCGCCGGGAGCAGCCACGGACACTGTCACTGTCCCCAGGGCCACAGCCACTGTCACTGTCCCCAGGGCCACTGCCGGGAGCAGGCACGGCCACTGTCACTGTCCCCAGGGCCACCGCCGGGAGCAGGCACGGACACGGCCACTGTCCCCAGGGCCACTGCCGGGAGCAGGCACGGCCACTGTCACTGTCCCCAGGGCCACCGCCAGGAGCAGGCACCGACACGGCCACTGTCACTGTCCCCAGGGCCACTGCTGGGAGCAGCAGGCACAGCCACCACCACATCTGTCCCTAATGTCCCTCACCTCTCTGGACACGGCCC